ACTACTGATAATAAAAAAAAAAAAAACAACTACAATATTCAGTACATGTATTTTATTTCATGTATTGTTTTTAAATAAGTCATGAAATACACTCCCCCTAGGGGTGAACCCCAGTACCGTACAAGCTGCGTTGTCACAGTTTGGCTGGCTGAAAGTGGTCTTCATGTGGTTCAAACTTTCGACCACAATGTCCAAAACCTGAATGGAAAAAAAACTGTGCTAAACCAGCTTCACTCTTTTGCAGAACTTATTTATTTTAATGTACACATACTGACAAATGACTTGAATGCACGATGTTGATATTAAAATGAGGAAAGAATTAAAAGAGATTACAGTTACATGTAGTATTTATTATGGTCCAGCTAAAATTAAATGTAGGATAACCAGCAAAACTCATCTTGATACTATATACTACTCAAAGAAACATATCAATATTAAGAAATTTAAACATAAGATGAAGCAACATTGATTCATCTAATTTTAGCTTTATAGTGACTGAGCAGATTCTTATTGATAATTCCCGTCTGAAACGGAATCGGAAAATCAACCGTTGTATCTGACCTAGCTCCTAATAATATAATTCTTACATTTATATTTCATTAGAAATAATACTTTCAGAATCTATGAAAGGTCAAGGTTGAGAGGTCAATTAGTTCACAATATATTAAAAATAAATAAAAATATAAGATCTGGTTCAAGAGCATGTGTTAATACTTTAATAGGTTATTAATATCATGCCACAGACATACCTAGCATATTGATATTTGAAATAAATTATGTAAATCAGCAATTGAAGTCTATTGGAAAAACCGAGTGGAGAGGAATCAGACGGCAATAATTTAATGTGAAATCCCTTGTAACATTCTCGGTTGGATATAAAATCCAAAAGATCCCTTAAGAGTAATTGCTGTGAAAGTCTGCTCAGCAAAATACTGTAGACCACTACCGTTTAACAACAATTCTGTTTCAGGTACACAAAATCATTTTTACTTAGTACTCATTTTAATCAAGTTGTTAATTTATTTCCAATAAGCAGAGGCAAAACTCAATTATAAATTTGGCACGTTGTACGCTAAATATTCATTTAAATCATACAACACAAACACTACACCAAAATGATAGTAGAACAGTAATATGCTATAGATAACTTATATCTCATAATTTGTTAGCTTTAATAAAGATAATAAAAAAAGATTAAAGAAGCAGTAAGTAACATATCAAAATATTGTACAGTCATTGTTCCTTTTTGAAATGGGAACAATCCAAAATTTTCAACAAAATTAAATGACTTTATGTATAAAGTAATCTACAGTATCTGGCGCAGAGCTAGTGAACGCCAGTACACCCCATAATATTGCCCTTACTGTCAACGAACCCTGAAACAAATTAAAATTCAAAAAAAAAAAAAAAAACGAAAAGAAAAGCCTACTGTAAAGTTATAGCAGATACAATCTACTTTCAAAAAACGAAAAGAAAAGCCTACTGTAAAGTTATAGCAGATACAATCTACTTTAAAATATCCTTTAACAATTGAATTATATCAGTGAATGGAAAATGAAGGAAGTAAAAGAAACCATTAGCCTTAAGTTTCTGGATACCATTCAATAGTGCCATGGACGGTGTAAACCAATCACTAGAAAACTGGTTACTTTCCATCAATTTGCCAAACTATCGTTTATTCAAGGGGCACTTATATTTGAGAAGGGTTTTTGAGGGGGTGTTTATTTGAGGGAGCTATTTACTGTATTCGAGGGAGGTGTTTATTCCAAATGAGGCTCGGAAGGGCTGTATTCGAGGAAGGCATTTAGTCAAAGTGGGGCGTATATTCTAATAAATACAGTAACTAATTTCTATCTGTTATTTTCTAAAATCCACAAATTCACAGTATACAATATGTCATTTATTTTTATTTTTATGAGAAAACAACAATAAACAAAAACATTTATATTGTAAACATAATGGTTTGTAAAAACCATGAATAAACTATGATTAAATAAGTTGTACAGATATTTACAGTAGTGAATAATTTTGTGACCTTTATGCTTTGCAGTATTAAATTTCATTAAAATTTATATTATTTTCACTGCAAATTTTTATTTTTTCTTCTTGAAATTGGAACAAAAATTGCACATGAACAATGCTGCCTAACATAGTTAAGGGACATGCTTCTAAAAGCTTAAAGATTCAAGGTATACATTTCTGGACAGTCCTCTACTTAACATACTGTAGCGCCATTAATTGAAAAATTAGCAATTCAAAAACTATATGCATAGACTGAACTACAGTTACTGCTAGTACAGTAGTAAACGCAATATATAAACTTTATCAGACAGGTAGTGTATGGTAGCAGTAATACTTCCATATAGTACAAAAATTATACAATTCATTTTTTTTTTTTTAATTCTGTTCGTTATTTTCATATTGATGATTGTATTAAGTGTAAGTTTTATGTATAACTAAACACCTCTATTTCAACACCACAGGATAAATTATAGATTACACCAATCATTATATTAAATTCATTTGACTTAAATTAGCTTTATTTCCTTAATTATGTAGTATTTTACTGTGCAAAGCCACAATAAAGAACAAGGAATATTTTTGGTCTACTACAATGCAAGGTTGTGTTTGCATTTTATACCAACCACTACACACAAACAATGATTATTGATTGAAATCAATCCTATCTTTAAATGCGGTACTGTATCTGTTGTCCAATCATTATGATCCTGTGTTGTTCTCCGAATTAATTCAATGTAATGTAGATTTTTGCAGTTATCATGCAGCATTGCTGTATGTAGCATCAAGCTGGGATACACTCAGAGTTGCATTTGGTCAACCCTGACAGACACTGCATACACTTTGTCTATTGTGAGTATTTGATCAGATATTATTTGATCAAACAAAACATGTTAGCTGTTAAGCCCTGTCCAGAATATCAAATGATGTGCCTATATATGGTCATGATGTGATGTCATCATGACCATATTTAGGCATTTTTCATGTTTTTGTCAAATAAAATTTGATAGTTTGTCTACTGTTGTACGTAAATAAATCTAACAAGAATTTACTCTTGAGTTAGTGTTCGATTAGATTTCATGTGATGCAGAAACCTGGACAAATATCTGATAAAATTATAAAATTATGAAATGAAGAAGGAATTGTTCACCTTCCATTGCACTTGTTTACCCTAAATTATCTCAACCCTGTCATTCTTGGAGAAACAACCATTGTTAAAGTAGTTGAGCTCTCTGGAGTGAACATTTATGTGGCCAAGAGCAAAGAGCCAATCACCACTGACTGAAACAGTGCACGATTAATGACATTTTAACATACAGTAGGCCTAAATCATTTAAGACTATTAAGCTGGAAAATATCCCTGACAAAGATGATGGTGAATTAAACTAGATTAACATTTTTCATGATACAACATAAAAAAGTTTGAAAAAAATCAACAAGATATTAAGTTGGATAAAATGTTAATGCCACGTGTACTTGAATGTAAAACTTTTTTTTTGTGGAATTCTCACCTTACCTGTAGCAGGACTAAGTGCAGGAGCCACTCAAGGTTAAGGCTAATGGAATTACTGAACAGGACATATTTACCTCAACAATTGTGTAATATCGCGTAAACAGAAAGGTGTTGCGCTTGATTACCACAAAGATTACGGTATTCTTAGAAAAGGTGCTGAATAGCACTTAATACTACAGTATGTGTACAGTTCCTTGGTTTGGTTTGATACTGTAGGTACAGTAACAGTTAATACAGTATATTGAGACTTGATATTTAAAGCCCATAGAGTAATACCAAAATCTCTAACATAAAGGGACATAATAACAATAATTAAATTTACAAAAATGAAAACACAAGCAAAATTATATTAAATCTTTTCCTAAAATCAGGACAAACGGAGGATCCCTTTTTCTGAAAAAGAAATACAGATTATGTTTTAGGGGCATAGGTTTCAGATTTAGAGATTCAATAGTTTATTTCGAAAATTTGTAAAAAAAATCTCTATTGAAATAAACTCAATGGTTTTTTTATTTCTAGAACCCACTTAGTGGAACTAATTTGTCACTGTGAGGGATGTGTCCACATTCCTCTCCACCCCTCCTACGTCCATGTCTTTTTTATATGAATTTCACACGGACAAATTATTTTCTATATTATATAGTTGGATTTATATCAACAAAATCAATGATAACTAATTTCAAGACACCTAACAAACAACACATTGTTACGTATACTAATCATTATATTATTAAACTGTCAAAATATGATGATGTGCAACTGTAAAGCTTGGTATGCATATAATCGCTAAATGTTATCGCCGACAGCTTTTGGTGTGGCTGATTGGTCAATCAAATCTGGGAGTCTTAAGGCCAACTCAGACAGTGTCGTACGACGCAGCTCGACGTGATTTATTGTCAAGGACAGTCTTAAGCCGTCGTGAGAAATATTAAACACGTTTAATACTATACGACGCAACTGCCCCCGACGCACACCATTGCATCTGCGTTTAACTCACACAGACCCAACGCGACGACACATCACGTCGGGCTGCGTCGTACGACGCTGTCTGAGTTGGCCTTTACTGATTGCGTCGGGGACTGTAGCAACAGTGTAGTGATTGTATGGAAACCAGACGTAAACCTAAATTTGGATTAGATTTTCTATCAAACTATAAAACCAAGTATATTGGTCAGTTTGACCCACAAAAAAAATCTAGTGCGAACAACCTGCATTAAATTCTGCGCAACTCCGTTCCTGAGTGCATGATACAGTATACTGTGTGTATATGGACAACTTTTCACAAAACTGTATTTACATTAGATAGATCACGAGAAGTGCCTATCAGGTAGCTGGCCTACTGTACAGTATTCCAAGTGTGAACAGCAATTTACCAGGTTGAGTAAACCTTCGTCTTGGTCAAAATTAATCCAATGTGAACCCAGCTAAGTAATAGGGCTAAATTTGTATATTTTTAAAACTGACTTACCTTCTTCTTTCAAGAAATGGCGTACTTTCCTTTTATTATTTGATGTTGACTCAACTGGATTTGCAACTACCAAGTAATTCCCATCATCTGAGTTATTCAGGAAAAATAAATACGTTTTCTTTTCTATAATTGGTTCTATAATACAAGGCTCGGTAGTGCCGAGCCCTATCACGTGAAACTCCTTTTGGGTAAAGTTTTCTCCGCCTTTTTGTACCCTGATCCTGCTAACTGTTGCAGGCATACCCTTGTTCCAAGATACAACTTTCCCATCAACTACAAATGGGGCCAGGTAAGTCTTCGACTCAATGCTCAATTCATCATTCTCGGCTGGCTCGCACGCCTGGCAAACATGCGCACCCAAAATGTTGATGAAAAACAAAACAAGAAACGTCCTCGGCATTTTAAAATTTCACGAATTATTGTTTTCCGTCAGCGTAGACTATATTATCTGTCTTCAGGAATTGTGCACCTTTCTTCCGTAGACCTGTATCCTTCTGGATGTTTAGTCGCATATGACACCGCTCTGATCAAGTTGGTTAAAAAACCATTACCGCAAAATGTTACACCCGGAAGAACACAAACACAACTCACACGCCACTGCTAAACGGCGTTGTGCCGTGTGTGACGTAGTGGAAAAGTGGGTGGGATCAAGGCTGATTGAAAGGTATGATGGGCGGAGCAATCATTCGAAAGCAACATTTTTTTAACGCTTTTATGACAAATATTATGGGTGACTTTATAAGCAACATAAATTGAAGAGGATTGTATCTAGATAGGCTTCTCTCTCAGCTATGACTTTCTTCAGTTTGTGATCATTGTCTTTTGGATCACTTGTTTTTTTGGGGGGTTTTTTTGGTCAGATTATTTGTTAATGAAAAGAGGCAGTGGCCTGTCACATACCGGTCCAAGATTCTTTGAGCACATTACACTCTTAAATTTGCTGTTAGTCAATTTAATAATTCTTGTGGTACCGTATCATATGTGAATTAAACCTAGGTGCCTACATTATTTTGTAAAAATAAAAATGTGAATAAAGAATTATTTATTGATTAATTGATTGATTGATTGATTGATCGATTGATCTGCATATCAGTATAACTTGTTTGATGCGAATCATATAATTGCTTATTTTTAGCTTTTACATAATTTTACCACTGCTTGTACAGTAGGCCTATACCCTGTTACATTTTAATTGCGCCATATTTGTATAGCTGGTAATTTTAATAATCTATACATTACTTTGATCACTTAAACATTATTACCATATGCATTCATTCTCTCTGTAGTTATTCGTAGAGCAATATTACATCTTTGTAGATTAAATGCAAAGAAAATTGTCATGCACGTTGCGTTGTACTATATATAGAATACAGTATTAAGAACACGCGATTAATTGGTCGCGGTAAGGCGTGGGTGGTGTGTAGCCAATAAGAGACCTGTTTATTGTAATAATACCACGCCAATAGCATATTTGTTTGTTTATAACTGGATATGACTTTGATTATGTCATGTAATTCATTGTTTTTATTGGATTTTATGATACGGACGTATGCTATTTCGTAAGATTAATTAGTATCGCATTTATGGTTTGCCAGTTAAATCACTATAGGGTTGTGGTTAACATCATGAATGCTTTGTGCAAAGGAAATATCAATATCATCTTACGATTACCACCAAAAAGTTCCATTTTCGTTCAAGTGTTCCGTGTGAAGACAGCAATAGCTTCATTCTATATTTGCTTTTGTTTTTTCATTCATTCGTTCGTACGTTCGATCGATCGGTCATTCATTTATTTCATTATTTTATTATTCATTGTACATTTACTTAGTCGCTTATTCATTTTTTTCTCATTCATTACGTTTCTTTCTTGCTCACTTGATCATTTTTTTACATTAATTCATTTAATCATTTATTCATTAATATTCAAAAATTTAACAATAAGTCGTTTACTTGTGCACTGATTCATTAATTCACTTATTTAATCATTACTTCATTCATTAATGCATTTTTTTTTTATTAATTTATTCATTTGTTCATTCATTCATTTATTGAAACACTTATTGCCGCACTAATTAGTTGAGTTGTATACGGTACGGTATTGTCAATTGTTTACCTAAAAACATTTTCTATTTTCAATAAAAGCTCAAAACTGTGTTTCATTCCATAACTGAACTTTATTTCTTGTATAATTCCTGTAAAATGTTTTTTATATTTCTTTTCGGTTGCAGAATTTGGTGTTCAGTTCAGAATGCAAGGCCTATTTAATAGTCCTATTTAGCCACAAACATCTACCAAACTGCTAAAAGATAATTATAATGATCATGTTGATAATAATAAGGATGATAATGGTAATAAATGGATGGAGATGACGATGATGTTAAAGATGATGATGATGATTATGATGATATACCAAATGGTGAAGAAAACTCCTCCTGTCTGCTGAGGCTAATCCAATTCATTTATCATGAGGCCGTTTCTACGAACGACTCCATGGAACAATTGATATATGAAACTTTATTTCATAAAGTTTAAAAAACACTGAGGGAAAGGCAATGGCAAAATAATACCGTGCATCAAAGAGATTTAATGTGAGAACCTATCATTAACTTTTTACAGTGTTTAGACTAGGATGGTAAGATCCTGATACTAAAGAGGACATTAGGGTAATCAACCCGTCCGAAATGTTAAAGTTTCTTGGAGTAATACAATTATCTTGGTTTTACTACTTCCAACAACTCTAATAATGTTTATATAAAGAGAAATATCCAATGAAAGCAAAATTTACAAACCTGACACGTTCAGGCCTACTAACATTAATATGTCATTCGCTCCTATTTGAACAACAATTAAATACATTATCACGTAGGTCTATAATAAAATTAACATAAAATTTCTCATTTAAAACAAACCATAAAAGTTATGAACGATTTGGGCGCAACCAGAACGGTTGGGGTTTCAATCCCTCGCTGTACGCTTCGCTTGTGTCCTTGAGCAAGGCACTTATTCTGCATTACTTCTCTCACCCAAAAGTATAAATGCAATGGGTACTTAGTGAGGTTGCCTGCTCCTGCGCTGATTACCAGCAGCATCATTTAAGCATGTGGAACCAATGACCAGGGAAAAGAAGTGCTTTGTATCTACAAAGAAAAGGCACATAAATAATACAAATAATAATAATAAATAAAATAGTAAAACTTCAATACCGGTAGGTTTTCATTAATTTACAGACTATATATGTCCGTAAATACGTCCGTTTAAATTTTCAGTTGAAAGTTAATAACCTAAGCGTAAAACTTCGACTATAGCCCCAATGAGCTTAATCTCGAGAAGCCCATCTTGTAAAAAAGTCCCCCCCCCCGCCCGTTCTTTATTTTGCAAAAGAGTCCCATCTCGATAGAAGCCCATGGCTTCTAATCAAGACATAGGACTGTACTTACATACTAACGTTACCTTTGACAATTAGGCCTATGATAGCTTTCAGTATCAAATTATTGTACTAGCATGGTTAAAAGTTGAAAAATATTATTTCCATAATTGAAAAATGTTTGTAGTAGCAATTCTAAATATTTACAGCATTCCTTTTTAACCCCTCATTAGTTGGCAAAATCAATCTCGAAAAAAGCCCATCTTGAATAGAAGCCCATCTAAGGGTCCTAAAAAGTATACAAATTAAGCAATTTTGTCTTTACATTAAAGACCAAGACAGAAGCGCTTTATAAAGCACCAGGCCTACCTCTACCGAAGCCGTTATATTTCTGTTAAACTTAGGTGGCGGTATTTTTTTAACGATCCGAAAACTTTAAATTTACTAAATGGAGACAAACAGGCCTACATGCAATTTAATTTAATTTAAAATGCTTCAATTGCATTGATCCAATATTTTTTAATAGATTTAAGATTTTTTTAAAATACAAGTTAATTGTTATATCCAAAATATAATGTGACCAATATAAATAAAACTGATGAGATAATACTGTTTAAATTTGATAGCAGAAAATTTAATTTCAGTATTTTCGCCTGGGGTTTTTGTATTAGCCACATGTCTAGAATTCAGGGGAGTTTTTTTTCTCCAATCCAGATCTTCACATATTATTGTCTAATCTAAAAGCTATAAACGTAGCTATTCACATAGGCGTTTTTATGTTCACTTTGAGGTAAAAGAATCCGGTCTATCAGGAAATTAAACAAATACTTCGTCGACAATCACTCGCTTTATGAAAGGATTAAGTAGTGGGAATTTTCAAGAGAACTACACTTACCCAATCAGGATTATGTAGGCCTAAGGTAGGCCTATGCATTTAGCATGTACCTGTATCCTCTCATTTTTAGCATTGCTCACGGTATTAATGTAGGCCTACACAAATCATCATTCAGTATTTAACGTTTATCAATCAATTAAATATTTATAATATAAAACAGAACATTTTGTCCACTGTTCATAATGCAGTAATTATCACATAAAAACGAAATAGTTTATAGTCATTACAGTATTTTACTTTGTATGAAGCAAGATAAAACTTTGACGGCCCCAATTTTAGAGAGGGCGCTGTTCCCTTCACGGCTATTTCGTAAATTAAAGACCATGAACCATTTAATTGCAATTAACTTTTATTTCTTATCAGTGTATAGCAACATTGATTGTTTATCTGCAAACATATCAACCATGATGACGATCGGATATATATTCAGTAAAATGAAAACACTCCATTAGACAAACGAATAAACTTTGAATTTATAGACATGAACAAAAAGAAATATTTAATCATTCGTATATTGATATTGGCGCTTTTCGTTTGATTTATTATCGAAAAAAATTTGAATAGTCCATCAGACAAAGCAATAAACTAAGAAATTTTTTTTCTTTAGATTTTAAGAAATATCATATAGGCCTATTCATGTTGACGCACAAACATATCACGCTTAAGTAGTTAAAAATCACCTTAAATCACATTATTTTGCGAGCTAGCACCTTCACCTTATCATCCTACCCACTTCACCTTCGCGCCCCCCCATCAGCCCTCATTTAAAGAGTCTTAGATACGCCACAGGACTATACTAAAACATATCCTATTGTGAATTTGATATACAAATTTTCATTATGAAAGTAAACTGCAAAAAATTTGAATAAAATTATGTTTCACTAGAGATATGCCTATTTCTAGATCGATTACAACGTCGTAAAGTGAATGAAATTATATTTTTTTTAATGAAACGTTATCCCAAATCATAATTCAGAATATTAATTTAAAACAAACGAATATTACGAAGTTCGATGAAAATTACAACATGAAAAATAAAGGGAATAATCAAGATGACACATGTCAATACGCCATAGGAGTTTTTGACGCGTATACCGGCGCATTGTAAATAGGCCTATCCGTTATTTAATTATTAAAATTA